TGTGGTACAGAATTTGGCTGCCTGAAGACATGAGCTGAGCCCTCTGTGTAGATCAGTTGTCTCCAAGCTATAAAACAGAATTAAAGGAAACTCACTTGTGGAAGATATCTTGAGGATCTCTGTGTCTAAAGAATGTCTGTGGGGGGGAAGTTATGACATTTCCTGCTGTGAATCCTTGTGGATACTTGCAAACTTGTTGTTGGGCCCAGTGATACTGGTTACAGTGCAGTAGGGTATGCAGGTGATACCACTGCCCTTGCAAGTGGGAAATTGTTTTGGTGAGCGCAGGACTGTGCCTGCCAATCGAGGTAAACTAAGAATCATGCTCTGTGCCAAGAAAGGACTTAGTGTGACCAGCTGTTCCTGGTAAGAGATTGCAGCCTACTGTAGTCAGCTTGGGATAATGTTGAACAGCAGTCTGACATGGATATTGCAACTGCACGAGCCTCTTTGGACTTGTAGAGGCATGCTGGATCCATACCATGGCACTGAGATGCTTTGACAATGTTGTATGCATTTAATGCCAAGCATTACTGTTACACAAGCTAGAAGAACTGAATCCTGCAAATTACAGAGGCCTGCATGGTGTACACTTGTAGCTATGAATGCGACTCCTACCACAACTGAAGTCCTACTGTCACTCTGTGAATCTTCTGATTGAGGCAGATGCTGTTGCTGGAATGTATATACTTGCAGTGAAATGGGAAAGTTCTAGAGTTCTAGCTTCTGTATAATGTATGTATATAAAAATGTAATTACTCTCCTTTTGCTGGTGTGTGCAGTAGCCCCAGCTGTTAATTTCTTCCCTAAAGTTTTAGCTGCTAGATACTGTGATTTGGACAAGGACGGAAATCATATCCTGGAGAAAGGAATGGCACTGTTTTTAGTTTGAGCCATGAGTGAAGAAGTTGTTCTGGGTATGGATGTAAAATAATAGTAATCTGCTCATTTCACAAACTGTTTACTGTAATCTCATCAGATTGCCGTGAATGGTAAGACCGTTTACCTGGGCTGTGGATGGATCTGCAGATATTAGGACATATGTTCAGTGGAGGGTGGTACACCACAGTGTTCGCTTGAAGCGCGTGCCATGAAGGCACATTGCAACTATAGGAAGAGTAATACTGGAATCCTGTCAGACATTGAAGTTTCACGAAAAGCATGTGATTCCGTCCATATTAACTTAAAATTCGTCTGGGACTGTCTGCTTTCCTGTGCAGCATGGGCAGAATGTAGCAAGGTACAAATCGTATGAGTGTTGGAACACTTGGCAACTTGTTGGCAAAACAGGGCCCTGCGAGGTCATTCGTAAGGCCAGATTCAGCTTGTGGCATCCCTGGTGGACCAGAATATTGGAAATCTGTGGTGACTGTACAGAGCCACATGGTTCCTGTGCCCACACTAAATCAAACTGGAAACTAAGTAGGTAGCAGTTAAGTCTCTAAGAAGGATGCCTGTGTGGATTTAAGAGCAGGTATCAACAATAATGAAATTGCTCTATATATACACAGTGGAACTGCAATTTAATGTTCATCCATTTAAGATTTTCCCTTGTTGTATTAGGTTATGATGTTCCCAGGTCAGTTATCTCGGTGTTTAATTTTGTCCATTTAAGATTTTCCACAGTTTAATTTTAAAACCCAGTATTCCCCCAAAGAAACCATAATGGCAGTTTTGCTGCATAGTGCTTTTGGGAGTTGTTAATAAGATAAGTATTACCACTTTGGAGCACATCTTGCAACCCCAGAGACGCTCATAGAGTTCCAGTCAGGAAACAGTTTTTGTTTGTTGAAGGCACAAGGTTACTGATGGGGATGGTTGCAGTGCTGAGGAAGTTTGATATCAACCCCTATGGTAACTAATGAAATTAATGGTTTTATGTGTGAAGGATAGGATGAGAAACTCTGGCACAGAGAATTGATACTATTGCTTTTTGCTTGATGTTTATGGTTTGGGGGGGGGGTTGTCTTAGCCACTGAGTGGCCATAGCCATCTGCAGTCCCCAGCTGTAAACAAGTAGTGAGACTATATGTATAAATCTTAATGGAAGCCAGTGTAAGAGCACCACATTCTGTAGTGTTCTCAGTGAAGCTCAGAAGCTACATTACCTGTACCCATGTCCAAATCATTACATAAAGCATGGGTTTCTGTAATGATTTCAGGACATTTCCTTGTCTAAAAATTGTTTATTCATTTGCTGTCCATTCGTATTTCACATTATTTCCATTTTTCATAATATTTATGCAATGTTGTACTTTGCAGAGGTCTTGTCTGTTAGTGAAAGAATTTATGAAAACTAATTATCGTTAGGTGAAATTTGATATTTGTCAACAAGTATGTTTTATTGTGTTGTGAAATTAAATCTGTCACTGATAGTGAAGCCATCCATTTGGGGAATGTCTACATGTTGCATCCAGTTGTGTATGATACAAAACAAAGGTAATTTATGTTGATGTTAATCACATGTTTGGAACCTTATTCGGTCATCATTGGGAATATCACGGTTTACTTTGATGCTGAATTCTTATTCAAATATGGATCCATGTTTTCTTCATATTTGGCTTTAAAATGATGTGATTATTGCATAATAATAAACGACTGGTTTGCATAATCTTTAGCTTTAAGCCGTTTTGGTATAACGTTAATTTAAATTTGAAAATAGATGAAAAAATAATTGATATTAAGAGAATTTTAATACCACGCCCAGTGTGTATGGGTAAAAAAAATAAGACCAAAAGTAAAGCTGTGCTTGAGAAGACCGAAAGGGTTGAGGTGGTGAGGTCACCATTACACAGCAGGAAGCTCAATTTAATTGTAAACATACGTTAATTTGAATATATGGTAGTTGGTAGTGAATGACTATCTGACCATTCTGACTGTACACTGGTAAATCCTTTGTGGGTTCTTGTTTTTGCTTGGTAGTTGTCCAGTTGTGATGTCAAGGGCCCCTTGCACTGTTGCTTCTTTTTTGTACCATGTACAGTTTTAGGCTGAGATTTGTGTCATGTTCTGTATTCAGTGGGTGAGACCATCCTAGTGTTGAAGGTTACAAATTACTGTTTGCAGGGAAAGTGTAAGCCATTGTTTGATACTTGTTACAAATTGTTGTAACAGCGTATACCTTCCACTAATGGTTCATAGTGGTACTAAGTATGTGAACGCTGCAAAATTAAACAACCTTGGTAATTTTATCAAAGAAGTTTCAATTTATGCCGCAAACAAAATGTTTGTAGATGGCTTGGGTGAAACGGGTGGCTTCACTATTGGCATGTCTAGGTAGTACAAATCATGGCGGAAGCGGGAAAAATTTCACAAAGTTTTGATCTCAATGGGGTTTCGGTACCAGTTTTAATGGCGGAGATTGTATCTGCACGCCATCTTGCAGGCAGTGTGTGTACTATATTAAGAAAAACCGGTGATTTGTAAAAAATATTACGAAGTAGTTTCGCACGCTGAAGCCATCTTATGCCAGGCGCAGTGACATCTGTCAGAAATATGTCTTATCGATAATTCATGGCCTCCGCGATCTAGTGGCCAAAGATTGAACTATAAAATGTGGCGAAGTCTGCCTTTGGTACCTGTCATTAATTTTTAATGATGCCAACCCACCCTCTCGTGGCCGATTATGTACTACAATTCGAAGGCCGTGCCATCTGTCGTCAAATCGTAGTTACGGGGTTGCGGCTGAAAATTCGTCCTGTGCTATTAGTTTTGGTACTAAGGTTTGGCCAAGTCAATGCTCTCGCCATCTATCGGCAATTTTTTGTATTATCAATTGTGGGCGTGCTAAACTTTTTTTTTCTTTGCTGGAGGTACAGGAATACTAATTTTAATAAAATGATAGTATATATTTTTTCCTCTCGTACATAAAATTTTGTTGCTCTTGCTGCCACCTATTCTCTAATCTCGTATTTCCACAATTCTTGTTTGATAATTATTCCTGTCTTGTGCAACCGGTTGGATTCGAACTGCTGAGGTCTGGTTTGCTGGCCGAATGTCTTATCCACTAGACCACGAAGCTCCCATACAATACATAATTTTGGAACTTCCTCATTAATCATGCTGCATCCGAGTTCTAGGAAAAAATATTTTTTAAGTCCTTTCTACTACCAGGCAACGGGAGGTTTCGAACTGCCGAACTCTGGTTTACTAGTACACTGTCTTAACCACTAGACCGTCAGTACCAATATCAATATTATTATTCCGGAACTGTATGATAAATTTGACGTCGCCCATATTTGTCTGATGCTTTCTTCCTCTTGCCCGTTGCTTGGTTCAGCTTCTGACGANACAATACATAGTTTTGGAACTCCCTCATTAATCATGCTGCTTCCGAATTTTAGGAAAAAATATTTTTTTAAGTCCTTTCTACTACCAGGCAACTGGAGGTTTCGAACTGCCGAACTCTGGTTTACTAGTACACTGTTTTAACCACTAGACCGTCAGTACCACTATGAATGATATTATTCCGGAACTGTATGATAAATTTGACGTCGCCCACATTTGTCTGATGCTTTCCTCCTCTTGCCAGTTGCTTGGTTCAGCTTCTGACGATACTGGAGGGCGTATACTCCATCAAGTGCCAGCGCCATTGCATAGAGAGTATGGCGGGCAATTTGAAATGTAAGTTTCATCCAGTGACTTTTCCAGTGCATTGTGTGGTGCTCCTGTATTTACAATTGTGACAAAGAATTGAGCTCCTTTCACCTAACATTACGAGATTGCATGCCAGAAACAATAAGAGCGGTGAACATCACTGTAAATACAGTGCTACCACAAAATGCACTTGAAAAGTCACTAGACTAAACATACATTTCTAATTACCATACTCTCTACTACTGGCACAGGTACTTGCTATGGAGCAACATATTTCCATCTGTACAGGCGTTTCTGGGGATATGAATGCTCCCACTGTACCGATGTATGGGGAAGAACGTGATTTAGGATAAGTTCTATTGTTGAGAGTGCAGGAAACAATGGTGCATAATATAAAACACAAATCACAATACAATGAGCTTCATTTGAAACATTCATCCTTATGGCTAATATTCTAACAAAACAGGTTTCCTTCCAAGATGTGCCGCCACGTAGTCTGGTAGCTACATATCTGAGAAACCTGAAGATGCAGGCAGCAGCTTCCTCCAGGGTCCTGGTAACATTGCAGTTTGGTACATGCCACACCACATGATGTCACATGCCAGAAGACTGTAATCTCCATTCACTGCTGTGATAACCTCAAATCTTACACATTTCATCCTGAAAAAAAAAACAGTAGTAGGAAAATAATTTATAGGGCCCTGAATGTTCTGATCTGCCTCTTGCACGTGTAATATGCATACTCTGCACTTGTGTCAAGAGCAACTGGACTTGCATGACTCACAGAGCATAAACCACTATCACTTCACCCCTCATATATGTAGGCCCTTGCCCATCCTGTCACGCGGCTTCATACCAATCCACTGTCATCAGCATTCTGCCACGAACTTGTTAAGGTCACATGCTGAGTGTTATATATTTTTACTTATTACTAGGGCTCGGATTTCTATGACCTAAAAATTTTGAAAATATGCATGCATTTATGCCCTAAAAATGGCAAAATATGACCTAAAATATGACAGAATGGCCACAAAAAATAAGTAAATATTTAATAAAAATTCCTAAGAATGGCAATTTATTAAGAAGTTTACAAAGTTATTTTGTCCTGAATAAATATCTTTAAGCTCTGAAGCATCGATCACAGCACATTGCTGACCCCATAAAGAGAAAAGCTGAATGGCGTTTTATTGAAAAGTGTACAAAGTTATTTTTTCTGAATAAATGTCTTTAAGCCATGAAGCATCCATCACAACACAATGCTGACCCTGTAAAGAGAAAACATGAACGAAAGTACTGTTTATTTTAGTGTGAAAAGTAAAGTAAAGTGTGCTAATTGCTGCAGGTAAATAATTTGTACGGTACCTTAATCTTCCTTTTCAGTAGAGTTGCACTGAATGACAACATGCATTTTCAA